TACAAGTGACACTGCAATTAAACAAGGGTACGATTATTCACTAAATGTGGTAGAAAGTCAGCTAATCATTCTGAAGACTAAAGTTACATACCTTTGTTGTTGCTAAGTAATGTCGAGTTGGCTCTGACTCATAGTGACCCTGTATAGAGCTTCCAAGGGGCAGGTGGTGAGCTTGAACCACCAACCTTGTGGTTCAAACCAACCTTGCAGTCTAGCACATTAACCCGCAGCACCACACCAGGATTCCACATACCTACTTTACATCACATAAAATATATTATAGAAGAACTAGAAAGTGTACACCTGCTTTTAAAGAAAGCATGATATAAATATGGAAAGAAAATATGGGATAACTTTAAAATATATATGTTAGGGGTCTTCAAAATGTTCATAGTAAAATGGAAATGAAAGATAATGGAATTTTTTCACAAACATTTTCAATCCCCCTCATATGAAACTTTGAAATGGGAAGACCTTCTTGTTTAAAGAGAAAATCTAGAAGCCACAAAGAGGGAAACCCAACTCAATACTTAAGGAAGTATTTCTAAAGTCTAAATGTAATAAAAACAAAAATCATAGATTTGGGAGAAAATGTTTTAAAATTTCCAGGATAAAAGGTTAAAAGGATAATATCTCCATCATGCAATTTTTTTTTTTTTACAAGTTAGAAAAAAGACAAACAATTCAAAATCTAAACATGCAAAGGATCTGAAATTACCTGTTCAAATTCCTTACAGAAGAGAAGTCTAGTATATATAACTACCTGCACTTACTAGGAATCACAGAATTGCAAGTTAAACAATGAGATATCCAGATTTTTGTTTTGCTCATTAAACCAAACATTAAAAAGCAAAACCAAACGATATAACCAAACATGGATGCTGGAGCGAGAAATTACAGAATTATGTGGTTAGAATTTTGGGGGACTGTGGGTAGATTTGAGGACTGTGCAATGATATAGTGTAAAAAAGTAAAAACCACCAAAACGTTTACCAGCAAAAGGATAGATTGAGAAAATTGTAGCACATATGTACTATGATTTATTATGCAACCATTAAAAATAAGGTAGACTTTCATGAGAACAGGAAATAAATCAGACTACTAAATATTACCGTGTCCATCTTTACAAGGAGTCCTGGCGTGGCGCTGTGGGTTTATGTGCCAGACTGCAAACCCGTTTGAACTGCAAGTTTGGTGGTTCAAGCTCACCAGCTGCTCCTTGGAAACCCTATACAGGGTCGCTATGGGTCGGAACCAACTAGACCGCACTTAACAACAACATCTTTACACAATGCATATCTTTGGTAAGAAAGAGGGTATTATTTAAAGGCTTTCAGGAGGCACCTTAGGTTGGTTGTTGTGAAGTATCAAGTCAGTTCTCTCTAGTCAGTTCTGACTCACAGCGACCTAGTATGTTGTTTCCATGGAGCTGCTGGTAAGTTTGAACCATCAACCTCGCGGTTCAAACTGATCTTGTGTCCTGCCCTTATTCTACAGCACCACATCAGGATTAGCCACCAGCTTGTTGGAGAAAAAGGGTCACTCTTAACAAATTACATTAGATTTATTTTTAATGCCTCTCTCCCAAGTTATTTGTGTCTGTATGGGGGGATGACTTAATTCCTATATTCCTCACTTTTCTTCATTGGTTTAACAGTTCATGGCTAAGAGGCTAACGCTACTATCAGCAACTTTGGTAGAAGACTTATTTTTCCAGAAAATATTAAAGATAAAAAAGATTTAAATTAACATCATGTAAATGGCCTGATTGTATAACACATGTAATTAAGATTTATTTTCCCCCCCAATCTCTTATCATTTAATGTTCATTTATGGTGGTGTTTTTTCTTGTTGCTTTCTAATGAAAACAATGTGGTATCTGACTTCAGTAATATGCTAAGACATCCCTAATAAAAATTAATCTATATTTTCTTATTCAAAATTTTTATATAAAAGTTCTAATATACAGGGGGCTCTAGTGTATATGACTAATTCTTTCACCATGGCTCAATATATTTTTGGACTTCGGTACAAAAATCACTAAAACTTCAGTATCTCTGGATTAATATCTAAATATGATCCTGTCCTTGAAAAAAAAAAGCAAAAACAACCCTGTCTCTTGCCGTACAAAATTACAAAATGGTTATTACTTATT